AGACATGCCATCGACCAGCGCGGCGCTGCTGGTGCTGCCGCTCCGCAGCGGCGGCAGCATCGCCCGACGGGCTGGCCGCAGGGCCGCCGTTGTGAAGGCGGATTCGCAGTGGAGGGGCTATAGTTGTCTGAGCCACATCACTCTAGCCCGCCCGCTCCCTTCCGCTGGCCCTAAGAGCACTAGCACCTCGAGGACCCTCCAACAGTAGTCCCACGTATAAAGCACTGATATGCTTGGCTGTGTCTTCGCTGAGTGATGGCGCTCCTGAGTGATGGCCCTCGACCACCTTGTCAGATCGTAACTTGATGAGGGTGTGGTTGCGAGGATGCAGTCGAAGAAAGCAAGAATGTGTGCACTTGGCAAAACAACAACACCGTGTAGTCGGCATGCTGGCAAGAACCTGGACATCACCCAACGCACAGTCATTGCCACCGGTGCCCGACTTGGCGCATCATCCGAGTGCATAAGGTCAGACGACTGCGGTCGACCTGCCCCAAAAGCGCCGTTCAGCATCCGATCACCGGCCCCGCCAGTGTATAAAGATGATTAAATGCTCTCAGGCGGCTTACACGGCGCAGTGGCGCCCGACAGCCCGCGTTGCCACGCCTGACTGGGTCCCGCTAAAGTGAGAAGGTGCGTCACATGGCCAGTGTGACCACCAGCAGCTGCGAGCGCCGCGGCTGCGTTTCTGGCAGCCGCGGCTGATGTGGACGTTGACAAAGCGCGCCGCCGCCCTTTTCCGCGTGCAGAGCATCTCTCAGCCGTGCCCTCGCAGATCGATGCGGGACGCACACCCAGTTGCTAGCGCCAGTTGCTGGCACTGGTAGTAGGATTGGCGCGCTGCAACGGTGATTGCTGGACGGTCAAACACCCCAGCCCAATCAACGGCCCCCAAGCAGCGCGCGCAGATGCGGCACCGCAGTGCCGGCCCCGCCCCCGGCTGCTGCCCACTAGCCGAAGCCCGAGAGCCGCCGCGCCGCGAATGGGTCAAAGGGGTCGGGCCCGTCCCGCGGCCGCGGCGGCGGCAGCGCCGCGTCTGCGGCCACGACCGCGCCGCGCGCGGCCGCGTGGCGCAGGAACGCGTCCCAATGGTGCGAGCCGGCGGCCAGCGTGCGCGGGGAGCAGACGACGGCGAGGCCGCACTGATCATGGG